CTTATAAAATACGTCTAACTGAAGGTCGACGACCATACAGATGACATAGGGGATGAGGGCGTTGCAAGTAGAAGTAAATATGCGTGAGCCTGCGTGTTCAATTCTAAAGGTAACACGAGGCGCGATTGCAAGACCTCAACGGCGTTCTACTGGTCCTAAGTATGTATGGTGAATTCGTGGTAATAATGTATGTGTGTGGAGGCAAATGTCGGGTGACTGGGATTTTCTCGTATGTTCAGTGATATACCTCACAGTGTGTTCGATACGTCGGAGGGATAAAAGCACAGTGAATGTATCTACCTCAAGTGCCGAAATTGAGGATGTACGCAGAGCTCCCTCTGCAAGCGCGAGATCATATTTCGAATAACAGTTAGGGACTTTACGCTGCCTTTAATGCCACATGCACACAGCACGGATCCATCTTCAACAATAGAAAGAAACAAGGATTTACGTAATAATAATAGTGTAAGTCGGTCAGCACCGCATCTTGACCCTGGTATGCACCTAAACAAATTCAAATGTTTCATCCACTTGGTGCGGACGTGCTCGAGGTGCTTAGACATCGATTTTCTTGGGTCAAGAGCGATGCCTGGGAATTTGAATGATGAAACGATTTTTCGAATTTTTTGGTGCCCGACGGTCTGACCTCTCTGGACGTCGTCGGCCGTTGGACATGACAAACATTTTCGCCCCTGTCATGAAACGGATTTCAGGTGGGAAAATGGTGCTTTTGGCGGTCTGTCGGGCATAATAAAGGGGCTCTTTTACTTGCTTTCCACAGCATTGGCTTGTTTTGAGCAGAGCCTTAGTCTGTGCATGAGTGGTCATTTTGATGATGAGAAGTCCGCTTGCTGGCGCTTCAGTTTTGAGTTTGCATGGGCGGCAGACAGCTTTCAATTGCTTTGATGGCCAAAACGTCGATTTTTTTAACTGACACATTCTCGTCATTAAGTGCATGACGACGTAATAGCCGAGAGGGTCGAGAATAGGCTCAGAGGTCTGGCGAACACCGGTCATTGTCGAGCGAGGGTCAGCATCACAGCGAGCAGGCACCAGAGTAGTCGAAGTCCTGCGGGGGTCGGAACCAGGGCCGTTGGACGGAGATGGCTGCTGTCCAGACACCGTGGCAGAAGTGTGCGAAACAATGGAATGGGCCTGCGGTGCGGGAGGGTCATCAGATGAAGTGGCAGCCAAAGCGGCAAAAATTTGAACAAGAGGGTGATGTGCGCAGACGAGAGGCTCACATTGCTCCCAACAAACCGATACCGATACCGATAGTGCTCCCACAACAACATCATGCGCACAAGGATACACCTTCCGCGTGGGAGTAACACAAAATCGACTGGGACATTGCATCTGTGCAAATCGCCGCCACGACTGGCTCGCGCGCACTGAATGATGCAATGCCAGAAGGTCGACCGAACAAAATAGAGAACAATATCCGAAGGGTGCGATGTACTGGCAACTAACACCGCTATACCAGTGCTATCGAATGCACGTAGTCGCCATATTTGGGATGGATTACAAGTATTTTGACGGGGCGCCGTTTTATGGCCATCACTTTACGGGCAGGCCGCCGGCACTTAGTTCATGGCTATTCAGGGGTCAAGTGAACAAGACGAAATCCGTTGTCCGGAGAGAGATTGACATTGCCGGCTGATAGTGATCTTATAGTAACATGGACTGCGCAAAGGTGCTCCCTCCACGCACAAGTAGTCATTGAAATTAGACCCCGTATCTGTGCAGATTGCCGCTCTTGCTCACCCGCAAGCTTTCAACAATACGTTGTCGGGGGTCAACCGAATAAAATCGAAACCACAATTCGACGTATGTTGCACTGGCTTCTTATAACACTATGCAAATACCGCTGAATGCATATATTCACAGTCCACGGGTTTTATTAAAAGTATATATCCAGGGCACGCTATATTATGATCATAACTCTGCTGACACGCCAGTTGCAGGTAACTAGACACCGTCAGGGACGATTTAAACAAACAATGTGTCAGCCGAAAAGAGATTTGCATTGCATCGATAGTGCTCCACCAATGCCACTGTGTGGGCGAGGCTGGAGCTCCCGCGTATAAGTAAATGTATTCCTAATTGGGCGTGCGAATCACCGCTCCGGCCGGCCGTACTTTGGCCGTCACGCCGGTACGTCACATTCAGTCCGGCGCGGGCTGGAGGTCATAGGAATAAGATCGGCAGGATCGACCAACAATCTATTTGCCTTGCTGGCCGACAGTGTCCACATGATGATGTTGTATGCGCACGGGAGCCGAGCCAGTGTTGTTGTGTGCGCCAATGAGCCAATGGTGCTGGAGCGGGAGCGGGAGCCAATGATGTTGTATGCGCACGGGAGCCGAGCCAGTGTTGTTGTGTGCGCCAATGGGTCAATGGTGCGGGAGCGGGAGCGGGAGCCAATGATGTTGCATGCGCACGGGAGCCGAGCCAGTGATG